CTCCCGCATAACGTTAGTCGATTTCTAATGGTGTTTCTTTTCCCCACTCCGAACACTGAAGTGAATCAGATTATTACTAATTTCCAGTGTTGCAATGTTGTAAGTGGAGACACTGGGATGTTGAAAGACCACGATTGGGAATGACTGTGTTCAAAGGCATCAAGACTTCTAAACTATCAAATTCTTATGTGAGTCTTGGGCATGTTTTGATTGGTTGGGGCCAGAGGAGCCTACAGTAAAGGGTGGGGAGAGATGGGGGCCTGGTAAACCATAGATCATCACTCTTCTGAGCTAAAAGGCACATCTAACCCAGTTTTCTTGCTTTATGGAATTGGAAACTGATGCCCAGCAAAATGTAATTACTTACCCAGAGCCTGTACAGGACACATATCCCTGTGCCCAGCTCATCTTCTTCTAGCTTCATTTGCCCCAAAAAATGTCTTTTGAGCATGTGTCAGTCTCGTGGGGTTACCTCAGGAACTTTGGGTTTTTTTAACTTGGAGTTTTAAGGATAATTAACAGGCTTTGGAGTCAACAGGAACACAGGAGAGGCCACGGAATGAGCAGAATGCCTGAGCGGGGATGTGTGGGCTCAGAGTCTTAGGGAATTACTCTGGGCAGGGCCGGGGCATGTGGCCAGGTCAGCTTCCCGCAGGCACAGGGGTGGAACCTGCCGTCTCCATCCTTGCATTGAACTATTTCTCTGCTAGATGGTTAACTCCTCGAAGGAGGGAGTCTTACTGGACTTGGGGCTCCAGGGTCTTGTACAAAACCGATCCTTCTTTCTGTGTATCTGTGGGATAAAATAGAGTCCAGCAAAGGGGGTGGGGTTGAAATAAGCAAACTAGCAAGTAAATTGGATGTAGAAAAGTCAGCCAACAGGAAGAGGCACGAAGTAGGGAGTGCCTGGGAGAGATTGATGAATCCTTCGTGTCCTTGCCAACCTCCTGAGTAACATGAGACCATGACTTACCTCGTCCTGTAACGTTACTGCCCCCCGGATTTCTGCCTCCTGGAGCAAAAGTAGCCCTGAAACTGGCTGCAGGTACTGCAGGGAGGGAGCACCCCGGGGAGTAAAAATAGGGGGGGTGGCACCCAGATGAAGGGTCTCCGAAAGCAAGAGACCTGGTGGTGGGGGCTGTCCTGTAGGCCACATTTTGTCACAGGAACAGCCTCATTTATGAAACTCTCCCATGAAATTTTGGGATGTCAGGCTCCTGTTCAGCTGTAAACCAGCTCAGCAACATTCGTCACATGTTTGTATAAATTAACACACCAGAGAAAACTCACCTCAGGCGTGAGCCCTGATTGTGTTGGGCACATCTAACTCCTCACCTGAGAGGAGTCTGTCTTTCCCTCCAGATCTGCTTTACCCCAGTGTGAACACCATGTCCTCCTGCTCTTTCTGTAGGCTGCAGAGCTAACAAGATATGGAAAGACAGTTCTGATTTTTGTGGCCCACTGTGTTCGGGTGCACACTTGGCCTTCTGCCTGCTTTCCCAGCGCCCTCCTCTGCTTTCTCTCAGCAGCCCTGGCCCGAGAGGTCCTCAGTCCCAGCAAATTCTCTTCAGTCTCAGTGCCTTTGCACAGGCTGTTGTTCCCTCTGCCCAGGAAATTCTCCCCTTCCCTCCCCACTTCCTGTAGACCTTAACTCAGCTGCTGCTCCTTCAGAAGAACCCGTGACACGGTGCTGCCCGCCCCCAGCCCTGGGCCTGATCGGGTCCTGTTAACGCGCGCACGGTTCCCTGTACGTCTCTTTCCCGGCACGTGCTGCAGTTCGCTGTTCTGTTTGTGTGATAGTTTTACTAGCATGGTCCCTTAGACTATAAGCTCCACGGGGGCAGGGGTCAGATCACTGTTGTGATGCGATCCTAGTGTCTTACACAGTTCTTGATTAATCATCATAAGAACTGACGCCCAAATGGTGCTCACCATACACTCAGAGCTGGACACGTATTAACTCATTTAAATCTCTGTGCAATCCTCTGAAGTCAGTGTTACCCCCCATTTCAGAGATGAGAAAACCAAAGCACTGGGAGGTGACCGTCCCGGGTGGTCTAGCTCCAGAGTCAGCCACCTCATACCACCCAGGCACTACAGTGAAGCAAACAGATAACAAATATATGTTGAATTGTTCAGCATCATCACACAATGAGGGCTACTACATAAGCGAGTCTGCAGCTAATTCAGGTGCAGCCCTAGAACTTATAACGCAGTGCCGATGGGTGAAAACCTTCTCGGCAGTTATACTCTCTTCCTTCTTAAATACCACCAACCAAACATATTTTAGCCTTTCCTTAATTATTCTAGATTGTCAGCACCAGCTCTTGTGTGATTGCCATCTGCCTGTGAGGGTAAGAGATGGGGAGCAATTGAGGGTTGAGACAGAGTGGATAATCAGGTTTTTGAGTTTTGTTTACCTTTCGATGGTATCTTTGGCTCGCGCCAACTTCTTTAGTAAAGTGATCTTCCTTAATATTTATGTAACTCTTGTCTTTGAGATTCTTAATATGTATTTTGCTTTCTGAGCATTTAAAGGGATGTTGCTGTTCCTCAGCTTTCAAAAGAAAAAACGAATTTGGAGGCTTGGGCACCTTGCCCCACAGTTCAGATGCCCACGTAAGCCACTCCTCTGACCTGGAGAAACTGGCGGTAAGGTTGGATGACCTCCAGATGAGGCAGAAGCCTGACCGGGATGGCGACTTCAGGGAGAGGGAGCCCTGGGAGAAGGGAGCCCGTTGGCAGCAGGGCATGTTCCTGTAAAAGCACGTCCCCTCTCCCCTCCCGGCCCCTGACAGCCGTTTTTCCTTTCTCAGGAGGGAGTTCTGTCCTCCCTGGTGTCTGGAAGGGCTTCTTCCTTGAACCCAAAGGCTTGGTATCTCCCTGCTCACAATTCTTCCCTGCGTCTGTTTCCTGCCTGTCATTGACAAGCCGGAGAAAGCAATACTGTTCAATTGTGGCCAGTCCTCTTGCTTTGCTTTTATTCCTAAGTCCTCAGTTTCCACACCACAGCTCTGTAGGTATGGTTGTGCCAACGCAGCCTGCCCTTCAGTTCCTTACGCTTTCCCATCTCTGTCCGAATGTGAGAGAACTGCACCGAGATGTTTACATCGGCCTCTCAGAGGAGCCCAGAAAATAGAAACCCATGGTGAGATTATGGAAATCTGGTGGCATAAGATTTTCTTTCACATGAAAAAGTCAACATTCAGACCTGTGTTTCCTTCCTTTTTGGGGTGGGGGGAGCACCTTATCCCTGCTAAGCAAAGCAGTCACGGCTGACTGCATGAGGCTCATCAATGTATGTATGTCATTAAAATGGTCCTCGCTGCTCAGAGGAGTCATCCTGCGCTCATCAGTAACGTGCGTTTCCTTGGCACCGGCATTAAGAGAGTGACCCGTTTCATCAAAGGAATCGGCCATGGCTACTGCGTATCATCATCTTCCTCATCATCAAAGAGCACTTTATTTAAAACCATTAGAACTGGGCTGGATAAATGTACTGATGGCTGAGACTGTGACCTTTGACTTTTTGTGGTGTTATTCCCACGCCCTTGGATCTACAGTGGGATGTCAGGAATTTTTGTCCCAGACATTATTTTAAAGACTCCACCCCGTATAATTTGCAGTGCCTTTTGGTATATTGGGTGTCTATGTAGAATCTACAAATTACATTTTGGTCTCATCCAAAAGATCCTACCCCCGTATCAGAGCAGTATGCTGATCTCCATCTGCCTTGGCAGGACTCAAGGAGCCCTGGGCCTCAAGTAATTGAAGCTTCTGTTTCCCAGAGAACCGTGATTTACAGTAGTGGAATTACAGTGTGGGGTGGTGGGCGGAGGAGCAGAAGGGGAGGCGGAGACCTTGGTTCCGGTCCTGTGTTAACTGTCTGTGATGCGTTGGGCAACTGACCTCACCTCTCTGGGCCTTGACTTCCTCTCCTGAGAAATGAGAGGTTTGGGGAAGGTGATCTTCTTCACTTCTTTCCATCTGTGAAATTCTGAAGTTACGTATCCCAGAAGCCATAAACAGTCCCTGCTGACTGATCTGTGCTGTATGGAGCCATTTGGTCATCAGGGACTCTCCATCTAATTGGAGAGGGGAAGGTGGCCTGGCGGACAGGCCAGCAGGGAAGTGGGTAATCCCCGAATGTGCTTCAGACAATGGGGATTGGGCGAGGGGGAGTCAGTCTGGCCAGGTATCTCAACTTGAGGCGTATTTCATCGTGTTTGACTTCTATTGTAAAGGTTGGCAACATCTGGCAAGCAGAGGTGGCAATTATGTCACACATACAGTTGTTTGTAGATAATTTTTATTTAACTAGATCATTTATCCACTTTCTGCTTGACCCCTTCTGTTCTCCCCCACCCCCGTCCCCAAAAGAAATCTCTCAACAAGTATGAAGAGCTCAATTGACATTTCAGATTAGTTGCTATTATCAGGACTGAAAAATCTGGTATCTAATTGAGTCTTTTTTTCTTCCCTTGGGGTTTTTGTATGAGGGCTTCCTGATAATAGGTTTAACTGCAGATGGATGTACATACTCAAATGGATCAAATCTGGCTTTTTATACGGCTGCTAGTCCCCTTATGAATTTACAGTCTAAAACCTTTATTAATTTGTTTATGATGCTGCTCTGTTAATGTGAGTGAGCCTAATAGATTTCTCTGTTTTTTAAGACCTGAATTGCTGCTGTTTTCCCTGTAGAGATGACAACAAAGTAATGGTGGCAGTACGTGCATTCTGAATCTCAGCCACTAAATGATAGTGAAACCTTGGGTTTGGGTTTTAATATTTATAAAATGTTTGGGGACCTGAGGGATTTGATGCCACCCTAAGAACAAGGGCTTGGTTCCTTGACCATAGTGTGGTAAAGGGTTTCCCGTAGAATGTTTCATGCCTCAATGTGCTTCCTCCTTTCCTGGTGTCAGGATAAGTTGACGGCAGAGGGACCATGAAGACAAGTGGAACTGCCAGCTGCTTGAACTTAGATGCTAATTTAGCCCGGGGCTCCAGAACCAGTTTAGGGGAAGTATGTATTTACCTGTTGTGAAATTAGCTAACCTTTGCACTCAGGAATAAAGTGGGCCTATGAGGAACCTTTTATCCAATCCTTTAAAGGAGTAGCCTAAACCCTGAATCGTTAACTGTCTTGAGAGGTGGTGAATTACACCACACACAAGAATTGCCACAAATACTAGTTTAACACTCTTTGTGGCTTAGTTTGGAAACCACACAGTTCTGTTCAGTTAGGCCTTGCCCTTCACTGCATCCCAGCCAGACACCTGACTCCTATCCAAAGCAAATGTCACGGTTACCTTTATTGACCTAATATCAGGAAACGTAGCAGCTGATAGGCTGGTTGGAAGGAACTATGGTTGATGGATTATTGCTGACCTACACACAGGTAAACAAAGCATAACCGAATTTGGCGTGATTCTATAATAGACTGAAATCGTTAAAACATAGACACAATAAAAATTCTCTCAGTATCACCAGTGTTTTAATTCTGTTCTTAATCTGTAGTCTGTTGAGTTGGGACAAATGCAGTGGGCTTCCTGTGTCACTGTACAGATGGCCGTGTAGAAGTCTCCATATTTGGAGCTGAGTACTTTACTGTTGGATCAGGTGTGTAAATGAGATGGGAGACGGGGAGCAAGGTTTCAGTAGAATGAAAGTCTTTGTTGTATTTGTCTACCCAGGCCTTTACCTAAGATACCTTCAAAGGAAGGCCTTTGGGAGGGGTGGTGTAGCCTGCCCTCCTGATGAGTGTGAGGCTGTTACACTCACGTGGGCTTTGTTTTTCAACAAGAGACATTATGTAATGGATGTGTGCTGGCATTTACTGGGCACGGATTTCAATCTTCTGCTGCTTTAGTGAATTCTTGATGGTTTTTTTGGCCATCATTGGGCACAATCTTCTACCGTGTGACCAAATGGCATTAGAATGACAGCGCTCTGCTTGGTAGTTTTTGAAAGCAACCAGAATTGCAAATAGCCAGGCTTTGTTGGAGTTTATAGACTAAAGTAGATAATATGGCTGCAAATAGAATTGTAGACGTAGATGTCTCTTTATTTGAATATCGTTTAGTACCTACCAAGGGATTATGTTACATAATACTATACAGTTGAACTGACATATTACTGTGCAGGTTGACTGGGGTTTTTTTGTTTTTTGTTTGTTTGTTTTTGGTGAGAAGCCCTATAGGACTGGTATCCGTCATCATGGTATACCAGAAAGTGTCTTACCCATAGCTCTTAAAATCAGCTCACCCATCCTGTGGCTTTCAGCTCATTCTAGCCAGCAAAAGAATCCAGTCTATTTGCCACTAGCCCTCACCTCTATTCTTACCCATCAGAAACCACCTCCCTTACCCCATCCACACAGGCATGTGTGCAGTCTTATTTTCTCTCCGCTTTAAGGTCCTCTGGCATTGGTACATCCGCCGGCAGAGAATGCCCTTCTCACCTCTGAGCATTATTGCTAAGATTAATCATTATAAGCTCTGATTCCTTAGCACATTTTACTCCATCTGCAATTTATTATTCTATGTTTGATGACATGCAGTTGTAATCATTCTCAACATTTCATATGTCCTAAGTAGTAAAACAAAATACCTTGAAATTCTTTCTTTTGTAATCCTTCCCTCACTTGCGTACCTGTTTTGAGTCTGACCTGTAATCCTGTAATGTATATATTCATGTCAACCAAAAGTTGCTTCACCATCGCTTTACCTTTGTGGCAAGCTGTCCGGTGGGTTTGAGCCCTGGCAGGGAGCCCTGCACTGCACGAGGCAGACTGGTTGTTGGTGGCAGGTTGTAGGTTCCAGGAATTAAGGCACACACTATATTGTGTAAGAATATTCTATTGGAAACATGCTAATATCCTTGCTAGAGTTACACAAGTATTGTATTTTTAGTTTGGAGGAATGGTTTTCTTGACCTTAAATAAATAAAACTAAAGTTAGGATTATGCAATGTAACAGCAATCCAATGAACACTGAGGAAAAATTAGTTTAAAAACAAAAAAACCCAGCCTCTCAGCAAATCCTGGAGATCGATGTGATCCTCCTAAAAGAAAAATGTCATTTTGTTATTAGCCAGGTTATTGTATTCTCAGATTACTAGGACTATTTTGGTCTGTTGGGGGTAGGAAGGGGAGAAAATTCACAGGAAAGATTTTTATTTTAACCATTTTTACTGTTTTTACTTCCACTAAGCTAACACTACTGCACCACACACATTTAACTCCTGAAACATGTACCCTTGGGTTAGATTTCATCAATTTGCAGGCCGCCTGAGGCGTGTATGGCTCTCCTGTTGACTGTGAGGGCTTTCTGTGTGTGTGAACGCCTTTTTCGTGGGGGCAGGATGCACAAGTTTGGGAACCTTAACCGATACTGCAAATCCTCATCACATGCGCCTCACTCTGGGAGCTGGGTGTGAGACACATTTGCATGGCCCCACTCCTTCCCTCTGACTTCCAGGTGAAAGGTCTGACCCTTGTTATTAGGTAGTCAGTTAACCCTTGGGCTAGCTCTTAAAATGTGGGTCCGAAGCCTAAGAATTGTATTTCTTTGGAAAATGCAGCCTTTCTGAAAACCCTGATGAGGAGCATGGGGCTGCCTTTGCTCTGAGTCTTAGGGCAGTGGCCGCCTGCTTCCTGTTGCTCTTCCTCGGGGACCCGAGGGTGGGTGGAAGTGAGCAGCCACTTCAGTGATCGTCGCGGCAGCTGGAACCGAGCCCGGTGCTTTGCTGGTGGTTCTCCTCCAGCCACTGGTGAGCTGCCTCTGGCCTGACCCGTCCCAAGTACTGAGTCAGAAACTGTAAGTTTATGTTAGAGGCTGTTTCATTTGTTTTTCTGCTACCTAAACACATCCTTGTGTCCATAGTGCCTCTTCACTGAAGATATTTTCTAAACAAAGTTATTTCAGAACTCGTTTTAGAAATGGTTTTTTTCTTACTTGAAATACAAGCAGCTGAGTTAATTAATGCAGGCGCAACTAATAATTAGCTGAGTTTAGAATATTAGAGAATGAAATTGTTGGCGACTCACTACCTTTTAATCATCTCTGTATGAGCAGGTGGTAGCTGCTTTCATGTGTTTGTGGGAAATGCAAAGTGAGTGGTGCATTTTATGAAATGGTGTCTCTGCCGGACTTTGTGAAATCTTGCTTTATAATCAGAACACTGAACACGAGGATCCAGCCCCAGAATTACGTTTGTTTTCACGGGAGGGCTATCAGGCTGAGCAGGGCAGCAGTAGGAATCAGCCTAAGTGAAATAAGCTGGTTTTACAGGTGCCCACTTCCCCAGCATCACCTGGCCCGAACTGACAGGCTTCGTGGTCCTTGGACTGAGCATTTCCAGAATTGTTATGTCGGGGTCACCTCGTGTGAGAGGACCAAATAGCTAATGGGTGTCTAGTTTTAGGGTGGACCAGATTACCTGCCACTGCCATTCTCACCCTCCACAGTGTTACTGTGATTGGTTTTTAGAAGTCACCGTGGGAGCCAGGAGTATATAACCCACTAATTTGAAAAATGCGTCAGATTCCAGGTAGTCAACTTGAAGCAGATCTGCAGATTTAGCACTTTCTTCCCTCTTTCAGGCTCCCTGGAAACTAGCATGCATAACTCTAGGGCCTGTTGCTGTTTCCTCCATTGCAAGGGGAAAAGGGAACACTGATGGGGTGAAGGTGACGTGCAAGGTCATCACTGTGAAGCAGTGTTTTTAGATGTTGAGGCACAAATAGTTCTCAGCTGTGCTTGGTATCGCACAAGCCATCTAGACGCTTATTAATTCACTTGAGTTACAGCAACTGTATCTGAAGGCAGGCATTTTTGTGCTTTAAAAAAGGAGGGGGAAAATAGGCAGAGATTTTATGATATTAATTTGCCTCATGAAAGAATAACACCGTTCAGAGTGGCTTATTCTAATGTGAAACTGTCAGGAGCTTCAAAGAAGAGAAAAATCTGTCAAGTGGGATAGGGTTTGTGACGTCACTGTGGACATTGTGATTATCTGTCAGCGCTCTCAGTTGCCAAATTTGACTTCTGGCCAAACCGGGTCTTTCTGAGATTTTTAGAAGACTATGTTAGTTATGTGATTAGTGTTTTATTTCGAGTCACCAACCAACCGTAGACAATTGCTCTTCCTGTGGTTTCCAAGATACTCAGACGAGGCAGGTGGCTTTTGTTTCCATGCTAGTAGTGGAGCAGCACTGATATGTTTTAGTAAATATTGACCCTTTAAAATGTTAATACTATGATAGGATATATTTGAGGGCATTTAGTTTATTATAATTGTACTGTGGGCTTTAATAACAACAGAATTCTTTTATTCTAGATGCTCACTCTTTCTATGATTCTAAACTTTTGTCCCTTGTTTAGTGGATATTAGTGATCAAAAGTGGTTGGGCTGCCTAATATCCTGAGATGGAAAGTGCTTCTGGAACTTAATGCTGCTCATTGAAGTTATTTTATTTTATTTTATTTTATTTTATTTTATTTTATTTTATTTTATTTTATGTTTTACTGGGTCACTGGTTTATGATAAGAGGATATAATTCAGGGACAGCTAGATGGAAGAGATGCACGGGACAAGGTATGGAGAAAGGGTGTGGAGCTTCCTCTCCGTGTGCCCTCTCCGAACATACCACTCTTCCAAATCTCCACATGTTGAAACAGAGCAGGATCCTGTGGGGTCTTCCCTGGTACAGGTCCTTTCCGTGTCCCCCCACTTCTTACTTGTAGGAAATAGGTGAAGCTCCTTTAAATTCCAGCTTCTCTTCCACATACTGACTTGTCCATCTCCTTTCTATTTTATAAAAAATTCATTGCACATTACGTGATCATATTACAGAAACTTTAGAAAACAGAGGAGAAAAAACTGGCTGTAATTTTGCAATATTTTCTTCATCATTTATATATATATATATGTATATGTATGTATATATTTTTAAAATAGCTTTGCGTATGTATGTGTGTTTAGGACTGTTTTAGTTGCAAGTGACAGATATCTCATTCTAAAACTTAAGCAAAGAGGGGATTTTGCTGCAAGGACTGAGTGTCCCTGAGCCCAAGGACAGGGGCCAGGCCTGAGGAGCAGTGGGAGCCAGGGCGCCCGCTCCCAGCCTTTCAGCCGTGTTCCTTCCCAGGCTTCTTTCTCAGTTCCTCTCTCTCATCCAGATTTGTGCACGTGGCAGAAAACATATCCACAGGAATCTCCCAAGTTTAACTTCTCACCACTTCAACCACCCAGATTGTTCAGCCCAATTCTGATCTGATCCCAGGACCCAGTGTGCAAAATGGCTGTTCCTGGGCCACTGTTTGGCAGATGGCGGGGTTGAGGGGGTGCTCAGCAGGGGTTCTGCCTGTTGGCCCCCAGATATGCATACATCTTCCCTTTTCACATATTCAGCCTTCAGACTGCCCCCGCTTAACATACTGGAGCCATCCCACATCAAGCTGCAGACCCTCCCCCCTCTCACTGGGGGTGGCCCCCAGTCCCCTTTAGCTGTAGCCCTCTGTGGTCTTATCACAGGGCCACTGTCCTCCCTGCCGAGTGCTCTGGGTGACATGTGTTCCTCTGGTTCAGGTGTGAGCAGGTCCAGATGAGGCTTCACCGTCAATACTCTGGACTAAAATAATTTTAACACCCTGAAATTGTTGGTGTACATGACCTTTGGATTCCAGCTGGGGCAGACCCCACCTACCTTCGGGGCTTCTGTTTTCCTAACCAGGGTGTACAGAGACTGATTCCCTAGTTCCAAAGGTGGAGTTAAAAGCAGACTCTTCTTCCTCAGCCTTGAGGCTTTCCACAGAGAATAGACCCTGCGGTCAGGCTTGTGAGGGCTCTGGGCGAGCGAAGGGCAGAACGTCTCCCCCAGGCCGGACACAGGCTGAGAGGAGGTGAGCCAGTTCTGCCTGCCAGGGGGTCTCCACCTGGGAAAAGGAACTCAGGGACTGAGTGTTTGTCCTGCCACCTCGGACTGCCCTGAGGAGACCCATCGGGCTTTCATTTTCAAGGGGTTAACTTAACTGGGCATCATGCTGGCTCTTACCAAGAGTGACCAGGTATTCTGGGGTCCGGCTCCCGTACACAAGTAACCCTCCAACCTTTATGTTTAGTGCTAAAAGCCAGCCATACTCCTGTACTTTAAAAATAGCATTTGTGCCAAAATTCGAACTGTTACATTATAAGCAAGTTGCTTTGGCCTGTGTTTAATTCAAGACCCATAGGAACCAGCTGATTGGTGGGACAGTATCGTGATGAAGGAAGAGAAGAATCTCATTTCAGAGTGGCATCGCTAAGTGGGTCCAGACCTCAAAAGGATGTTATTCTAGGAAACCATACCAGCTATTGCCTGCATGGGTGTGCGCATGCATGCATACACACACACACACACACACACACACACACACACGGCTGCTATCATGGGAACCGTGTGGATGAGTGTACAGTTCCTAGCGAAGGCAGAGGATAGGCAGACCAAAGAAAAAAATTCTATCCGGTATAATTATAACCACAGTGTACATTAAATTTTGGATTCTGTATTTTTAATGTTATATATAAGCTTTTTCTATATTATGGATTTTTTTTTCAAGTGATATTTTAATGTTTACATATAATATTCCATTGAGTGTATGTATCATAATTTATTTCAGCCATTTAGATTTAATCGGAAGTTGAGGTCTTTCCATTTTTTGTGTGTTTATAAATGGGTTGCAGTGAGTATCATTGTGCAAAGAGCTTTATCCAGTATATGGAGTTTGCATTATGTCTTTTATACATTTTATTTTATAACATGTCTCTTTTGAAATCTTTATATAATGAGAATTGTTTTTTCCTATTTTGCTTTAAACATTTTCCTCTAATTCTTTGCCTTTTAAAACTTCGTGTTTCGTAAGTATGGGTGTGTGGGGGTGAGTTAGCCGTCTTCTTTATCATGGAGTCTTGCAGGATAACCAGGTTTTCGAAATACAACCAAGAGAAGGAAGTTGGTCAGGAAGCTGAGTGTACTTTCTCCCTCTGTTTCAGCGGAGTCTGTCCCTGGATTATTTCAGAATCCGCAGCCCTGGCATGTTAGGGCCTGTGTGCAGGAAGGATTGCTGCTTAGATAGAATCAGGCGACCTGGGTTCCAGTCCTGACCAGCTGTTGTCCAGACATGTGCCCTTGATGGGGACTTGTGCTCTTCAGCCTGGATTTCGCCATCTGGATCTTAGAAAGACAGCTTTGGGGTAACGGGTGGGGGGCTGTCTGTGGTTGTCCACGCCCAAGGTGAAGAATCATATTGACCAGGTAGATTCTTCTACATCTCATTGCAGATTTTTGGAAGCCCCAGCACTGTGACGCTTCCTGAAACCTTACTGTTTGTGTCAACCCTGGATGGAAGTTTGCATGCTGTCAGCAAGAGGACAGGCTCCATCAAATGGACTTTAAAAGAAGGTAATTTGGATTTGGTCCTTGGGTGACATGGACGCTTGCTCTCAGCTGCTCCTGAGGGAACATGTTCCAGAAGAAGAGAAAAGCAGTCATATGTTATTTAATAAAATAAAGAAAGATAATGGAGGCAAGGAGAGGAGAGGAAATTGTACTCAGAGGGGTTTACAGCTTGAATTGTGATTGCCCGCTAGGTGCATCAGTTGAAGAGGCAAGTTTTATCTCCTTTTGTTTGTTTGTTTGTTTGTTTTGCTCCTGTTCAGATTTTATGTTTAAATGGCTCTAGGCTTTTATATTAATAGTTCTGGCTGGTTGGTCTTTACGAAGACAAGCTGCATTAAATTTTTTTTTGTTAAGTTCTAATGATTAGGATCTTGTCATCGTAATTACAAGAAGATATCTTCTCTAACCTCAAATGAGTTTACTCATTTGTTTTTATAGAGGCTGAAATAATTAAGAGCTGTAAGATTTGACATGCATCCAAGTTAGTCGCTTTATTGGCTCTTTACACTGAGGGAAGTCGAAGACTGAGCTTGTTTCTCATTTACTCCACCATGCATCCATTTTATGATCTTGTCTTCCTGGTGATAGTTGGCAGAGTGGAGGCCCTCCAGCTGGGAAATTGTGTTCAGTTCCCAAAGTAATCTTCCCGGATAAAACCCAGGCAAATCCTGGGATTTGGGGCTTTCGGAGTCATCCCTATTACTCTGTCCTGTCATAATTCTCATTTGGTCTTAGATTCAGGTCTGACCAGTGTGTTCTCTTCCGTCACTAATCTGTGACTCATTATTCTCCTGAGCACAGCAAGTGTTTTTCCTTCATTAATAAAATGTTCCGAAACAGTACCTTAGATGGAAAAATATTGACGTATGTCAGGTCACACATCTTCTTGTCAATTCAGCAGCAAACCTGGTTGCCATCCATAGATGACCTTAGCCGGGGTACCGCAGGCTCCCCGCCTCCGCTGCCTGGGCCGGCGTGGATCAGCAAGAGCTTTAAGTAACGGAAAGGACCAACTCTGTCAGGAGTGAGGGGTCATGAGAAGACAGGGAGCCCGGTGGTGGCACTGCATTACTAGGCTCCCAGAATATTACCTGTCTTCTTTCTCCATCATGTTTAAGCAGAGATCTTTGTATTTCAGGATTTCTGATTTTTGTCCAAAGATGAAAATTAACAAGTCACAAAAGAATTGAGATCAGCATTTTCACTGTTAAATGTTAGCACTGGTCCCTCAGTTTCAGTATCCCAAGCAGGGCATTTTTGCCCTAAGCCACTTCATTCTTCTGCTTTACTTTTCCCTGTGTGTATTGTTTTGTTTTTAAAAATTGTATTTATTTTTGCATATATTGTTTTAACTAGGTCTTCTCCAAGTCTAATTTAATTTCTGCAAGTAGCTTCAGCTGTATCCAGCAAAACTGTGTCCTGCCTTGTTTGTTACATAGCCAAACATAAGAATCAATCTGTTCTTTCCTCTCACTTAGAGCTCAAAGAATTTGCCTCCTTTTAAATTTAACACATGTTTAGAGAACTTAGTCTGTGAAAGACACTGTATGGGGCACAAACAAGGAAAAGACAGCCCGTGCTCTCCAATAGGCCACAGTCTGGGAGGGAGAAATGACAAGTACACAGAACTTCAGCAGAGAGCGGCCTTGTGACCACCAGAGAGGTGCCTGGAACCGCTGTGGGCCCAGGTCAAGCTGAGGCGGTGGCTGGGGGATAGACAGGAAAGGCTTTGCGAAGCGTTGTGTTGGAGCTGAGCCTCAGTAGGCGGACTGAATTCCAACGGGGAGAGAGGCCTGGAAAGGAGCAAAGGAGGCACCAGGTCTAGGATGTGGGGACAGGTCCAATCTGGGAAGAGCTTAGAGATGGAAGTGGAGGGAGGGAGGCCAACGGATGCTGAGCCCTGTTGTACTTGAGTGAACAGGAGATTGGGAGCCGTTGGTGTGACTGAGCAGGTGAGTGACCCTGCTTCCAGAACAATCCAACAGCAGTGTGTGGGCCAAGAAGGGCCGGGAAGCCAGTGAGACATGGGGCAGACCTGAAAAGGGGACTGGGGAAGGGAGGGGGTGGGGAGGATGAGAGGCATGCCAGAAATAGGATCAGGAGAATCCAACAGCTGGTTCGGTGGGCAGAACAGGGAGGCTAAGGACACTTAAAGGCAGAATTAGAGAAAGCCGATTAAGGTCTAATAATTTCAAGTAATGAAATTCAGTTCACTGAAATTTTAGTATGTGCTAAGTCTCATTGTTTTTCTGAGAATAAACTGGCTTATTTTAGCTAAATTGAGCCCTGGGTATCAGTAGCCTTGATATATATATTTCCATACAAAGATTAAAGATGATAATAGAGACCCGGAGTTTTTGAATTTTATTTTAATCTTGCAATTATACCTAAAGATTTCTAAGCTGGTATTTCTAAACCTTTAATATGTAAATAGATTATACAGGTATCCAGATACTGTTCTAGGCCCTGAGGATACAGCAAAGTCCTTGCCCTCATAGAGCTTTCATTCTGTGGGGGAAGCAGTTAAGGAGGTAAATTACATAGTGGTGATAAGGGCTGTGGAGAAAGATAAAGCAGGGAAGCGGCCTGGGGAGTGCCAGGTGGCCGGCTGGGCTTGGCGTGGGCGGGGCTGCAATTTTACAGGGACAGTCCCACTGAGAAGGCCCCACTGAGAAGGCTTCAATTATTTGAGCAAGAACTCCTGGAGGCTGGGGAGTCTTTGTGCAGAAGGCAGGGGGTGGGGCGGGGCAGAGGTGGGCGCAGTGCCAGGCAGGGAGCAGGGAGCGGAAGAGCAGAGGTGAGAGCGGCTGGAGTGGGGCCAGAGGGGAGAAGTAAAAGAGCTCAGAGGCCACGTGTTAGGGACTCAGTGCTCCCTTTCAGAATATATATATTTAGTTCTCTTTTTTTAAAGTACAGTTGGCTTACAATATTGTGTTAGTTTCAGGTATACAACATAGTGATTTGTTTTTTTTCTTTTTGAAGATTATATTCCATTATAGGTTATTACAAAATATTGGGTATAATTCCCTGTGCTATACAGTAAACCCTTATTGCTTATCTACTTCATACATAGTAGTTTGTATCTGTTAATCCCATACATTTGTCTCTTTCCAACTTCCTCTCCCTTCGGAACATTTGTTGTCCCCATCACTGCCTGAAATGCAATTTATAGACAGTAACGTGCATACACACACAGTTTTAAAAAGAAATGTATTAGGGGGAGAGTATAGCTCAGTGGTAGAGTGTGTGCTTAGCATGCACAAGGTTCTGAGTTCAATCCCCAGTGCCTCTGTTAAAAAACAAATAAATTAATAAACCTAATTACCTCCCCACACACACAAAAAAAGAAAAAGAAATGTATTACCTGATTGGTAATCCGAAATAGTAGGAAAGTGATTTTTCATCACGTGTATGTAATTTAACATGGAAACGCTTTGGAGGCATACTGACATACTGACACTGCACCCGTGAATGCTGTGCTGTTAATGCTGGCTGATAGAAGTGCAGACAGGATGGTGAGTGGATTTCCAAGATGGTGAACAATTCTTGTAACATTTCAAACAACAGAAGTACATTTTTACTTGATTTACACAGTAGTCACAATTTGAGAAGATTCATTGGGTAAAATTATGCAAAGGATGCTTTTGCACTTTTATGTAAAGCAGTTCAGGTTGTAGGCTCAGATAATTATTAAAGGTTTTTGGCCCATGTGAGTGTCTGGCAGGACGTCAGAGCAGCCTGCAGATATGGGTGATTTTCAGCCTACCGAGCATCCCTAGCCTGCTACACTTAGTACCTGCATCACCACCCAGTTCCTGTGACCACCAGGAAATGCCCTCACAGATTTCCTGAGCACTGCCTGTTGAGCCCTCCCCATGGAGACCACAGGTATAGGACCTAGTGGCTGGTGTTAAGAACGTTGGCTTTTTTGAAGCCACTGGAGGAATCTGAGCAGGAGAGTAACACACTCTGGTGTTGTGGACTGAATACTTGTGTCCCCCAAATTCAGATGTTGAAGCCTTATCCCCCAGTGTGCTGGTATTTGGAGGTGGAGCCTTTAGGAAGTGATTAAGTTTAGATGAGGTCATGAGAGTGGTGCCCCCATAATGAGATTAGTGCCCTTATAAGAAGAGGAAGAGACCAAAGCTCACTCTGTCTCCACCACGTGAGGACACAGTGAAAAAGCAGCCGTCTGCAAGCCAGGAAGAGGGCTCTCAACGGAACTCAACTATGCTGACCCCCTGATCTTGGACTTCTAGCCTCCAGAACTGTGAGAAATAAATGTCTGTTGTTTAAGCCACCCAGGCCATTATTTTGTTACGGCAGCCCAGGCTGACTACGTCACCTGGCATCCGCTTTACAGGATCAGCAGGTGCTGGGTTGGGGCTGAACTGATGGGGCCTGGAGGAAGCAGAGACCAGGCAGGGGCTACGGCACCAGTCCAGCTGAGGGAGGACACGGGTTCGGGCCTGAGTGGGGAGTCAAATTCAGATGGAAGAAATTTGCCAATGCAGACGGACACCTTTAAGTCATGAAACTGGGGTTCTGTAAAATGTATACCTGTTATTCCATTTCATAGTTTCTTAACTGTTTACTTTTTTTTAAGGGGCCAAAAAACTAGGAATTTTTTTTTTCTTCCCACAGAGCGGTTCTGGCAGGTGCTTTTGTTCCTCAACTTAACATGTGTTGCTGTTCCCAGAAATGGAGATTTCTCACATCACAGCGGCAAACTACACTTAGTACAGAAAACGAGTTTTATTTGTTTTCAAAAACTAATTTGAGTCCTGACAGTCTACCTTAGGTGCGATCTTTCTAAGCTGTGATTTTGTAACTGTAGCAACGGCACTGTCTGTCTCTGAAATATCACCAGTGAACACAGCTGTGTATGTTTCATTTCTGCGCCTCCAGCCCAAGTACAAACTGCGAATGCTGCTGTCATGTTTCGTGTTGAGTTTTACAAAGCTGGCCTTGGCTTGGTGCAGTTAAAGGACTTTCTTTTGTAT